TGGGAGGGAGGGGTGGTATGAATAAGTAAAATATCAATAAAGCAATAAGGGAAGGCTCCGAAAAGAAAGAGGCGGATGAGCGTTAAAGCACCGCTTTGAGGAGGGGTTGAGAGAAGTGTTGAAGGTGGGAGGAGGGGAGGGGAAGAGAGGAAGAGGAGGGGAAGAAAGTGGATGAGGAGAAAAAGAGGAATTCGGGAATTCTGGGAAAATGGGTTTTTGGGGGGGGGGGAAGAGGGCTGGCTGGCTTGGAAGGAGGGAGGGGGGAGTGTGAGAGGGATGGATAGGCCGTGGGCCCAAGCATCGCTTACAGAGGGGCGAAAAGCGGGACTGCCTTAATTTTACGTGTGGGCAAAGCATCACTAGAGGACAGGGAACCTCGCAGGGAAATCGGGATTCCCCCCTCCCTCCGGAACTTCAAGAACTACCAGCCCCTCGACACGATGACCTCCGGCCACGCACTTTCCTTCCTCACTCCACGACCCATCCTTTGGACTCTTTTCTGTCGCGTCTTTCTCGCGACTCGCCATTTGTAGTTAGTGCCCCCTTTTTACCATACAGATTCGACTCGTAATATTGCCAAACGCAAATCACTCGGCCCTAGTCTCGAATCATCGTTAGGTTCGTGACAAGAGATTCGACCCGATCGAATAATGAAGAAAATAAAAGTGCCCACATGGCTTCTTGCGACCTTCCTATCCACCACCACGTCGGGACCGCCGGACGTTTGCTTCTCGAGTGGGTCTAGGTTCAGACGAAGTGATGCGATAGATTGGACGGAGTATAGAGCCACAAGTACGAAGTCGGTAGTATGTAGAGTTTATAAAAGTATGAAGTATAGTATACTACAAAAGACACGGATGTTATTATCTATCAGAGGGGCAAAGGAGATCAGATGTTTCCCCCCCACCAGAAATGACAGAGCATAAAATGCTTTGTTTGGCAAGACAGGTATAACAATCATAAACAACTTCTAAGGAAATCAAATTCTACAGACCAGAAAAAAAGAAAAAGAAAAAGAAAAAAAAAAAAAAAAAAACCAATGTTGACCATCCAAGATATCATAGAAAGGAAACACACGCCGAACTCGTCAATGAAAACCTAGAAGGGATAACGTGAAACGGTAAAAAAAAAAAAAAAAAAAAAAGGAAAAAAAGGGACAACATAACGACATCGTCTGCGAGGGAGAGGAAGTGGGCCAAGAGCCCCTCGCTCAATCGCAAGGCGTTGATGGATCTCGCCCTCTTCCGATTTCCCTTTGTTTATCGACGATAGAAATGTGTGGCTGGCATGTGAGGCGAGTTAGTGTCTTTTGATCGTGGCACCCTGCGGACGGGTCGACAATACTCCGGGTACGACGGAGTACGTTGAATGCTTACTACCAGAGACGAGACTATGAGGATAGGTATAGGCACTATGATAATGACTAGTGGTGATAGCCTCAATATTCATTCGTAATCGTTAGTCTCCCCTCCTACGTCAAGGTTACTGTCGACTCTCTTATCCTTGAATGTCTACCCCGCCGTTATCATGTCATCATGCCATTTCTTTCCTATCGTGGCCCTGTTCGGTCGCAAACCATGGTTCACACCCTCCACTACCCCTCTCCCTGTCATCCTGACCCCTCCTCCGATCGGCATCATGCCGTTGGGCGGGATCGGATCGGACCATGTTTGCACATCACATTCTACACATATCTCTCGAGTACATATATATGGAGTCCCTAGTCTACGGTAGCAGAAATATGGCGGGCCGTGCAGTCGCATTCGTGATATGCCGAGTCGGACGCAAGTTGAGAATGAGACAGAGGGGGGCCACAGCAACGAGAGACGACAATTTGCCAGGTTTTGCCAGGTATTTCTGATAGACCAGTTCCGGGCAAAGCACCCAGAAACTAGCCCCGAGTCCACGTCTGGAGGTCAATCATTTAGCCACTATGTCACTTGGATTGCCCCCCCTCCCCTCCGTCTTTGTATATCGACTAGTCAATTTCCTGAGAAACCATCAGGCAAGGTCTCGATCGACTCCGCCGTGAATCCTGTTCCCAGCCGCCCGCTAGGTGCATGTGGTGGTGGGCGGGATCGCCCACCCTTCAACCCGCCACATGCACTACCCATTCTCCTTCCCACCATCGAAGCACTTGGCAGGTTCAACGGGGATGATGAATCGGTCCATTCTTCAAACTAGTCAATTACGAGCTGTCCGGATGTGGTCAGATTGAACAAGAAAAATGGAGAGACGCGAATTCAGGGACGGGCTGGACAAGTCAGCGCCACGGGCTACCGTCGTCTCAGCTGGGAAATGGTGGCTAT